GGAAGCATCAAGGATCCAATAAAACCACAGGAAACACTTCAACAAATTCTGATGGAAGAGGTGTTTTCTACTATGAAACTCCACCTGTTCAACTCCAGTCTCCTCAGTATATTAGCTAGGACATGGAACCAACTTTGCTGTAATGGTAATTAAACGTCACCTGGACTTTACCTAAGACCAAGCACTGGAAAAAAGGATGTCAGTAACAAAACTTTTTGAATGCTGCTTAAAAGCCACATCAGATTCACTTACCTGTTATTCTCTTTTCTTTATTCAAGTCAATCTGCAACCACTGATGTTCATCACTGATAAAAGCAGCCCAAGGAGGACCAACCCTTTTTAGTCTGGCATTTTCAGGTTTCCAAATGTTCACTTGTCCTGTTTGATCAGACCACTCAAGAATAGATGATGCCGTGATCTGGGCATCAGGGATTACCCCAGATTCCATCCCCAGTGTCCCATAGCAACCTGAGCAACAGAAAAGGTGAGGATTCAAAATGAAAATTCAAGTTACACAATGATTTCACCTGCTTGGAGTTTAAGATTTTACATGCAAATATTAAACTGCCATCTAAATTTATTCCATAAAAGCACTACCAACAAAACACACTATCTTCTGCTTTCTAACAGTGATGCCGGTCATGAGTATTCCATGATTTATGCCTGCTCAAGAGCAATGTGGATATTCTCTCAATCACCACCCACACAGAGCACTAGATGAGAAGCTTTGGGGGAGCTGTCATGGTTTAAGAGTATGTATGGTTGATGCAGGAATGGGAAACAGACTACTTGATCATTAGTTCCTTTTTTGTGTCTACATAACTTGTTTTTTAAACCCACCTCAGTATCACAATGCTAATTTGAACAATACACCAAAGCACATAGGAAGCCATGTCATAATCCTGGCCTTGAGCTCAAACACATCCTTGAAATTAGTTGTATTTTTTTGGTCACCATTCTTCCTAAAAGTTTCTTCCCACGTTGCTTTCTGCTGATGGCTAAAAAACATCTCCTGAATTCCTGGCTAAATTTCCTTGTGGCTAGTTGATATCCATTCGCTCTTTGCTAAAATCTTGTTCTGTAATGCCAACAGTTTTCCCCTCTCACATGGGTATTCCCCAGATGTATCAGTAGAGAGCAATCTTTGCCTTCAGTCAGCCAGCCTGAACAACCCAGCCTGGTTTCCCTTTTGCTGTGAGCTCCCCCTCTCCCTGCAAGTGTCCCTGCAGCCCTCCTCTGCACCAAGGTCCAGTACTCATCCCTCAAGGGAGGTGCAGGTGGCAAAGCCCACATGCGACTGGATCCCAGAGAAAGCCTTGCCAATGTCCTGTGTGATGGCATTAATAGTTCGTTGTCTCTACTGGACGTACTTCGCCTACTACAGCACAGGATCACATTAGCACTTCACTAACCGAATCCTTTCCCTCATCTGTCATTTCCATCTAACATGCTGCCAGTTTGAAGCAGAAATGCCTCAGTCTCTATGTACCCAACCTTATACTTTTTGCTCTGTGATTCTTCAATTAATTTCTATTACTCAAGTCTCAAAGTCAGCCAGGTCTTCCTGTACAAATAGTTTCATCTTCCTCTGCACTGACCACACCTCTAGCATTAGTAACACACTCCTCTATTTTGTACCAACTCATGAAACCAACTACTATGGAAGAACCACACTAGTAACTTCACCACAGTCTGATAAACCTCATTTGAGCATACTATGGAGTCCTCTTTTTCCTTCAGCTAACTCCTAGGCCACCCAACTACTACATACATTTTAATCTAGACCTGCATCTTGTCTCTAGCTTATTCAATAATTTGTCCCATGTGTCACTGAAATCCAGATAGTCTAGAGCAGCATTTTGTCCTATCTCTTCATATTCCAAGCCATTTAATTACTTTCATGTACACTTTCAGATCACATTCTGAAAGACAAAAAACCCCAACAAACCCTGCCTCGATCATTGTGTTTAATATTCTCCATGCATAAGCTCACCAGGCATGCAATTCCTTCTTCCAGCTCTTGCAGAGGTCTGGGAGAGAAATTATTTGAATGTTATGTGGATTATATTTTCTAAATTTTGCTTGTTTGTATACATTTCCATCTCCAAACACTCCTGCCCAACAGATTCCTGCCTTTATATCCCCATTCAGCATCACTTTTATTTATATATTAGGAAGAGTATTTGTTTACTTTTGAGGAGTATGTGTATGATTCCCCCCCCCCCCTTTTTTTTTTTTTATATTGTTATTAAAACAGTTAAAGAGACTAAGGGAAGGCCACTGTCTTCGCAATACTTCCAACATCCATTCAAAGATGGGATTTAAAATGACTTACAGAAAAGCTAGCTTCCATTTAGAAAACTGCAGCTAATGCAGTTGAAAAATGGGTAATTGATAGAAAGTAAAAACATGCAAAGCAGTAAAGCTTTAGAAAGGGGCAACACTTGTTATACCAATCAGTAACGTGGTACACATTTACGAAACAAAACGTGGCAGCCAAGAAGGAACACAACTGACACACAGAGCAAGGCCTGAGAGGTGCCCTTCCAGAGCAGGAGAGACAAGTAATTTATCACATAGCATTCAGTTGCAAGAATATGGGAAGAAAAAAAGTAAAAGGAGGTGGAGAAAGTTGAGGAATCATTTTGGGATTTCTGCGAGCTTTCTTAGTGGGCAACAAGGAAAGAGTAAGGAGTAAACCTGGAAAAAACCCAGAATGCACAGTTGTTACAAATAAAGAGCATCTCTTAAGCACCCAGCTCTGCTTTAGCAGTGTGTTTAAAGTATGGGAGTCAAGTCACTTTAAACCAGACTATTATAGAGGAACAACAGGAAGAATCTTTTTCTGCAGATAAGCAAGGCTTACTTTATACATCACTGTGTCTACAAATGTACGATGATTAATCATCAAAATGACATAGTAAAACAATTCAAAAATATGCATTACTGAGGAATGCAGTACACAAAACTCTCACTAACTAGAACAAGAATTAAGAAATAAAATACCTGCATACTTATTTCTACTCACAAAATTTGCATGAAAGTATCAACATGTAATATATGTGATAATGCTTACCACTCGTCTTAAATGTGAAGAGACTTGTAGATAACGGTCCCCTGCAGAGAACAAAAGATTATGTTTTTTGTGGTAGTCAGTGAGGAAAATTGAAACAAACTGTCTTCGATTGACTTTTCTTGTCTGACTGCTTGCTACTGAAACCTATGCACATATGCCTAAAGAAGCACTTCACGATTAAAGTAACACTTCCTGTCACCAAGTTGCAGCACTTTCAGTACGAACACCTTTTCAACTGTAATCTAGTCCAGAGATACTATCTGAGTTAAAGGCTTTCAAACAAACATCTGCCCAGCAAAACGCTAGACTTCATTAAAATGCTTCCCTTTTAAATTAAGCTAATCATAATAACAAGAATCAATCTCCTCTGATTGCTTTCATTCCTGGGACTTCTGAGATAAAATGACAAGTTACACTCTCTCCCCTGCAACTAAAAAGTTGCCGTTAAATTATTATTTTTCCACAGACCATTATGAATTTATGGTCATACCACGCATTTTGGAAGATAAACCTCTTTGCAGAATTTGGAAAATTAATCTTTATGGTCTAGAGGTTAAAAATATCTGGTAAAACAATGACAGCGTGGCAAAAGAGCATTGTGAGAACCGTACGGAAGAGAACCTGTCCATGGAACACGTAGCTCCACTAGCTGAAATTAATCCCGATGAGACACTACCAAGATCTAAGGTGCTAAAGGTAAGGAGAACATAGGAAGTACACTTACACTTTTGATGTGACATTGTTAGCCAGGGAGCCTTCATAGTACGGAATGCCCTTGCTGATTACAACATTAATTTGGCCACCCAGAGTATTTGACACAACGCCTGCATGAACACCAGCCATACAAAGTGATGATGACTTGAAGAGGGAGGAAAAAGAAAAATTTAATACTACATTGTAAATAAATTAAATACTACACTGTATATTGTAAATGCTACATTGTCCAGTTATAATCTTTGTTAACATTACATTAAGATACTGTTCTATTTAACTGTTATCTCTGCTATTTAGAAACGATTCATCTTTGGTTTACTATGGAATTTATAAAAACACAAAAAGAAGGTCCTACATTTCACTGCGTCCTCGCCCAGATGCATTTGGAATGTAACTCTTGTAATTAAATAAGCTCAAACAAAAAGCAAGGTGAATCAGTCTGAAAAAGCCAGACAGCCAGACTTTCAGCCTACAATAAATCTACTATGTTAGACAACAGAAGTTGAATACATAAATAACGTAGGAAACCTTTTAATAGAAAGCATATTGAAAGTATGGTTATTCATTTTCTCACAATTCAGGAGTGATGCACTGCAGATTTTGTAGCTTTTAGCTGATGGGTTGTATTTTTTATTTTAACTCATGGTTAAACATGGTTTAACCATCCAGCACTCTGATCCATGTGAACCCACAGTAATATGTGAATACAATTCGTTCTAAAGAAGCCGATTACCTAGGTTGTACAGGCCAATGGAGATCAGTTACGCAGAAAGTTTTTGCAGGACAACCTGTTCTTTCCTTCTCTCCCTGAACGACTGTTAGCCTGGATCCACTAACAAATGTCACAGTGACACTTCCATTTCCCTGGCTTGCAGGCTAGCTGTGCCATGGGGAGCAGGACTGACTCACCACACCAAGTCCTTCGGGCACAGCACAGAGTGAGCAGAGCAAGACGCCTGTCTCCTGGACCAAAACTAGCCCAGGAGATCTTCTCAAGCTGGCAAGCAAACCCTTCCAGGCCAAAGGGGCTTGACCAAGAAACATCCCAGTGCTCAGGAGTAGAGAGACAGTCCGGTTCCCAAAAAAGCTGAGCAGCAGTGGCTTTGCACCCATCTACCACGTGCTCTGAGGTTTCTGGAGGATTACTGGCTACGCACAGTGCAACAGGCATAGACAGAGCTATTCACAGGCGTTCCTGCAATGTGCAGCACTGGGGTACGCACAGACACGCTGCAATTCTGCAGCCCCTCGCTCACTTCCAATGAGACTGGGATCAACCTGAATTTTAGAAGATCGAGTGGGCCCAAGCTGTCTGTGAAGGACCACCTGGGTATCTCCCAATATACCTTCCAGAAACCATATTTAGCTTGTTATTACGAGTGTGGTATCCCAGCGCAGACTTGCCCAAGTCAATAAACAACAGATGATGACTGCAGATTTTTATTTACTGTTCATAGTTGCTCCCCCAAACGAAGTCCGCTGCTAGCTGTTGCTACTAAACACATTTACTGCACTGCTCTGCCAACCAGTCCACTGGGTGCTACAGAGCCTCACCACAATTCTTTAAGAAGGAATCAGCAGGTCCCTTCCAGAGAAGGAAGACTTCATGGATGATTTTCTTTCTCGCATTATTTTAAAAACAGAACAACTTTCTCCATTGTGGCTTCTTTAGAAATAACTGCATGGTGTAGCAGGCCGGGATGCCCTTATATCTCAAGCCCACTGGCAAAAAACCTGCTCACTGAAACTTTTCCAAACCTAATTCTCCCCAGTATATTCACACATAAAAACTCTAACCCTATTCCCCACCCCCCAAAAATCCCAAAAGCTTTCTAAATAAATGTAACTATGTCTCGCTCACGCAGGCAGCTCCCCTTTCCTTTCCTACTTTCCCTTGAAAGCAACAGCATGGGATTCTGCAGTAGATGCAGCTCTCCTCCCTGCTCACCAGAAGACGTCAGCAATGAGCGCTCCAAGTCCTCAAGGACTGTGGACATCAGCGTCACACACAAAGGAATCAAGAATTAGGGTATTTTTTAAAGCAGCAAGCAGCTGCTGATCATTTGAAAGAGATGCATGAGAAATCGCTGCCTGAAACTTTGTCTAAAGTGCTGGACAATTTGATTTCTTTCCACACAGCTTGACTTCTGGGAAATTCTCTGCCTTTTATTCAGAGCAGTAAAGTATACAAAAAGAAAGTCACGGGGCATTTATTTCCTAAAGTTTCCTTTTTCCTCCATAGAAAAGTTTTTCCAGCTTTTGGCAAAAAAACCTCCCAACAAGCAGAACTCTACTGATGCTGCAAATACGTTAGGCAGAGACTCAATTTCATCTTGTTACTAGCTACAAAAATTACCTCGCAGCCGTTTAGTGAGGACTCACCATGGACCAGAACATATAACACAGTTACGCTGTGGTGACATTTTTACATATGGGTAACTATTTAAGCAGGTAGCCTAGGATTTACAGATATTTGAGAAAAGAAAATCAGAGAGGCACACTTTAGGTTCATATTTAATATTAAAATCTGTGCTCACTAACATTTTAAATCGTCTTTCCTCTGTGCTAGATCTAATGGCTTATTAAAAGAGTATTTTAAGACAAAGAGATTTAATGTAATTTTTGACTAGATTGCTACCAAAATTATAATCACTTAAAAATAAAAAAAGCAAACACCCTCCAGTCCTATGGCAGGTATGCTAATTCAGTTACAAAAGCTCACATCAGAAAAACAGTGTATAGGTTTTTGTAGTGTTCTAAGTAAATAGTACATTATTAAAGATTTTCACTTCCAGTTTATAGAACTATTAATGTTACAGTATTAACTCTGTTTTGCAAATGGTTTTATAGCTTCTGAGCATAAATAGTATTTTATGTCTCATGTTGTAATAAAAAATTAAGATAACCACTGAGACCCTCCGTTTAGAGATGCTTACAGTGTCAAAACCAAAAGGACACCATTAGAAGAACTGATCCTCTCTTTATAAATCCGAATTTCCCAACCTGAGAAAGCCAGCAAAAATAAAACAGGAAGTAGAAAACTATTTTGATTGATCCACCCTTCTCAGCAGGCCTTACAAAAACGTTTGAGTCTCTACTGCACTACTTCACTTCTTGGAGATGGAAACATCTGAAGCACCAGCCATTTAGCAGCTGTGCAAAAAAAAGAGTACCATGCTATTCACTTTAGAAGGTACAAATTCCAGAACCCGGGCAGCAGAACTAATGTGAACAACTATAATTGACTTGTAATTATACACTGTGCATTTTACCAAAACTCCCGTGAGCCCACGGTCTTTTTACTTACGTCTCTGTATCCATGGGGAATAGTGCCTGAAATATCAGCAAAAGGAATCACACATCCAGCTGGACAATACTTACTGGAAGAAAACAAAATATCAAGTCAAGACATGCATGCAACTACAACTCTTATAATGTTATAAAATAGTCATTATGGTTTTGATTTACAACACACTGTTATCATTCATATATCACTATTTAAGGATATATCCTAATTGAAGACATATCAGATCAGACAAAGAATACTGAGGAAGAAAAGTACACAACAGGAGAACAGACATTTGAAAAAGTTTAAAAAAAAGTCTCAGCTGAAACTACAGTTCCAGTCTCAATATAATAAATTAATAAAGCCAGCATTTTATAATACAAATACCGCATGGCTTCTGTAAATTGAAAGTCACAGAAGTACCAATATTAATGAATTTTATTTTATAAACTAGAGACCTGCATATCTGTTTGTTTTGCATCCTTAAATAACACACCTGAAAAGTAATGTTATTTTATAATAGCTCCTGGCAACGCTTTGATCATAAAACATTGGGCCAAATTCAGTTAATACCGCTAGCTCATGAAAAGCAAGAGGCAAGACATCTGCACCTCTGATGCAAGCCCATGTTCATGTTTTAGTGCCATTTCATACTGCACATAAAAAACTATTAAATCTTCAAGATGTAACAGTGAACTGGAGTAAACTATTAACATATTCACTGCAGTTCAACAACAGTTGAAGCAAGTTTGCAGAATCCCACAAGAATAGTGGGATTCAGAGACTTCAACACATGTTGAGTAAGGCCAGAACCTACAATTACAGTCCTATTTTGGAACCTGGGAAAATGAGAGAGAAATGCAAAGGTTGCACTTTGAAATGTTTCATGATGTCAGGGCTGAAGTTCTCCAAAAAGTAAGTTTATGTGCTTCACAATAGTCTGCAGCTTTAAACACTGTCCTTGCTTTAGATGGAAATGGAGAAGGAGAAAACAGGGAAATGACATATGTTTCCTCCAACAGAAGGTACAGCATTTTATGTCTCCACAGAACCTCATTAATTCACACCAAACTGTGAAATGGGTTTGTAATTTTTAACACATTTCATAGTTTAGTGCTCCTTAGATAACTGTAATATGAATGTCAGTATTTAGGAATATGTGTTTATAAAAGCAATATTCTTTCTATGGGAATGAGATATTAGGTCCTATGTGTTAGTGCAAATTAACGAGGTTCTACTGTATACTGCATGTAAATAACAAAAAGGGGGGGGGGGGGGGGGGGGGGGGGGGGTGGGGGGGGGGGAGAGAGGAAGGAGTGCAAATGTCAAAATCATTCAGCTCTAACCCGAATTAGTTTGTTTCTTAAGTTCTCTGGACAGCCAATTTTCAAGCTGCATCAGGTATAAGTAACAGAGTGAAGTAGAAACACCAAAATGACTTCATTAAAGAGATTGAGGGGAAACAGGTAAAATCAGTCTTACTTGAACTCTGGTTCGGAAAAGTGACTTGCATTGTCTAAACACGTAATTAGGTCTGGAAAGAAAAAATGTTAGGTCAAGAGGATGATAAAGACAAGAAGTTTGAGTATGCTTTTTAAAGTGCACAAAAATATACATTTGAGCCTCTGTGGCTTAACCAAAAGTCTCAGAATGAAAAAAACAGGTTCCTACTAAATTTTCTTGCAACAGATTTTGTATTACAGTAGAACCTTGATAATTTGTCTGAGTAAGTGGGAAATCCACTGAGAATGTGACATAGACAAGAGAAACACTACAAACATTCATTTTTTGTGCAGCTTAATTTTAATTTATAGCTATACTTCAGCGAACCTGACATAATTCAGAGAGACAAACATATGCTCTTTTCACAAAATTAAATTAATAAGCTAGCTAAACAGGCCTGTGTTTTCAGCATTTAACAATCCTACAGTACTGAAACCAGGCAGCACAGGGAACAAACATTAGAGTGCCATGTTACTGGCATCCATGACTGATATCTCAAATTTTATGTTCAGTCTGCTGTGTATCAGCACATACAGTCCAAAACACAGAGAAAAAAGCATCAGAAAACCCACAAAATACAAATTAAAATTGAAACTCTTTATCTGCTCTTTTTAGAATTACTTCTAGAAAGGGTTTTCTTAAGCCTTTTGCCTTGTGAAGCAGTTGCTGGTGAGCAACCTTTTCCACGAGGTTGGTCTGTATAAAATATATACAGTTCAATAAGAAAATTTTTTTGTTATCTGCCACCTTGATTACCACCTGAAGAAACGCATTTCGTCCTTTATCCGAAGCAGCTCTTTCATTCACAACAGATAACTGCGATTCTTGCCCTGATATCCAGGGTAAGCTTTGATATAATTTCTTTAAAACTACAGTAACTTAAATAGTAACTGAACAGTCCAATTTCCTATGCAGAAGTATCAGGAAGACTGTATTAAAAGTCTTCGTTTTTAGAAGTTCATTTGTGAGAAGGCGGGAATAAATAAATTAGTTCTGTGTTTTTACTAGGCAGCTCTAATTTTACCAACACAGAAAAATTACCAAATAATTATAAATACCTGATTTGTCAGTGGTTGAATAAGCTGCAAGAAATCCACGTCCAGAAGTGTGTGTTCCACTCATGAACTGTACTGTGACTTCATTACTTTTTGAAGTAATTAAACCACCCATTTGAAAGCCAAACCCACAGTATTTTCCTATGGAGAGAAGAGGTAGAACAGATATGGACCAAAACCAACATATGTAATAAGCATCTTTTTTCATTTGCAGTGTAAGCTCACATTACTTCTGCCGTATATTCAAAACCAAATACATGCGCATGACACTAAATAACGTAGTCGGTGTCAATTTAAAGCAAATGGCAGAGTATGGATACCACATTTATTTTGCCTCTGTCAACAGGTAAGAGTCTCTCATACCCTTAACACTTGCAAATAAATATGACCTTATCCCATTCACCTCTAGCCATGCATAACCCTCAGAGTCAGTTCTTCAAAGACCACGAGAAATCTGTCAAGGAAAAGGATCAAGTTAGGGCAATGAGAATCATCTACAGAAGCAAATGAGAAAAAAGCCCTCCTCTTCCCTCAGCTGTTGGGGCACTTCCTCCTTTTTGACTATTTCATGGTTTCTCTCAACTACTTTTCTTAGTTTTGGACAACAGCAAGCATGATTCACTGCACTTCAACATTGACATACAAGCATATGTGAGTACCATTAATATAAACTGCCAGTTGGTTCACTTTCTGGTTTACTGCACTTATAAAACCTAACAGAGGTTCTGCATCTGGATACTTCTCTTGCCATCCAAAATGACCAAAAATAATACATTTTAAACTGAGATGCTGGAGTCTGCAGATATTGACAATACTTGCCCTATAAAGTCCTAGAATTACTACCAAATGACGTTACCTGGATGAATGGCTGTTAAACAGACCCAAGTCAATATGGAATTCTCCAGTCCTACTAACTAGAAACTTTAATAAAATACTGATCTTCTTACTAACCTGTTAAGAAAAAAAACCGAACATATTCTGTTGTATAGGCTCCCTTGATCATTCAATGTTGTAAACCATCTATGGCCCTATTTAAGATTCTGCAGTGGATAATCAAAGTGGATAATCACCAGCAGCAAATGACACTGCGTATATTTCAGTTTACCATTCATTTATTTGCTTTCTTGATAATAAGTATATTATCATATCGTAAAAGAGCAAAAAACGAAGCCAGGCTCCCTTCTCAACTAAAGGCAAATGACAATACTAAAGTAGAGGGAATGGAATAACACTGCCCTGCAGGAATAGTTCTTAACAAATATAATACAAAACAAACATAAATATAACACAAACAAATATAATGTATATGTCAAATTCCTTTAAAAGGTGAACTGCACTCTCAAATACTAATAAAATAAAAATAAAAAAATACAAATTCCTATCGTTATTCAGAGCTTTCTAACTGTTGCTTAATCAGATATCTTTTGAACAAAGCAAGGGTATTTTCTAATGAAAAAAAAAGAGAACAGATTTTACAATACTTTAATGAAATTTATAATATTATACAAATATAACCTTACCTCAATTCACTACTTAAACTGGTTATCAGCAAGAGTTATAAAGAAGTAAGTTCCCTTTTACCAAGGCTCCACGTTGACCCTATGTTTTGCTATGTCACGTTTCAATGATTAATTGCATTCATTATGATGAATTGCATCATTTTTCCAACTACCACTTCGCTTTTCCTTTTTTTTAAGTTTTGTTTTCAGCCACTAGATCTTGTTACATGACTGACCAGCATGAGATTCCTCTCAGGGTAGGGCAGACTGTCCTCAAGACACCATTTATCCTCCTCTTCGGGCAAATACACAGGGCAAGACTCTTAAATCTAGCTTGGATAAACTATCCAGTGCTGCTTGCACCATGGAGATACGGCTTTTGACAAACTGTAGACTGATGCACCTTATGATTCATGGCAAGACATACTTTTGAGACTATAAAACATTTTTCTAACTCTTCCCTGGCCTCTCACCACATTTTTAGCAATCTTTTTAAAAAGTAGGCACTAGAAATGGACAAAACATGACTGCCGTGACGCCTCTGTCAACGGTATGTGCAGAAGATGTAATATTTTGTCTGTACTTATGCATTGAAGGACCCCAAGTGCTTTTGTACAGCAACATTACAGCAGGAGAGGGAATTCCCACGGTAGCTTACATTCTCTGGTCCTATGGATCTGGGTTTACATTGTATGTATTAAATAAGTACATCTGACTAGACACACAGTGATTGGACTGTGATGAAACCTAATATAGAACACCTCTAGATCTTACTTAAACTAGAGACAAACTGAACACCAAGGATTTGAATTTTCTTTTGATTTATTGATAAATATTCAAAAGGCTTGGAATGAGAACTAGCCCTTAAAAGCTTCATTAGAAACCTTCTCTGTTTATCAATGAACTAACCCACTAACAATTCATTTTTTATCTAATCAGCCAATCTTTAAGTCATTTTGGGTTAAAGTAGGTATCATTGAATTTCAGATTTTATGTAATGCAAGTATTTTAATGTTAGATCATGTCAGTAGTCTTGAATGAAAAAACTTAGTATAAATCCAGATTTCTTCCAAACAAATTCAGGTCACTGTTTAATCTCTCCAGTGTTTGTTGCTTCAAACATGAACATTCAAGAATCTGCATCATCTGTATCTGCCACTGTTAATATCATTGTTTGTTCTGTGATTTAATTTATTAAGAGCAGAACAACACACACATTTGCTCAACATACTGTGCTACTACACCAGCTGGGAACAGCTGAAAGTCAGGAGAAACAAATGAAGTAGAAAATTTACTCGAACCCATTAAGTCACTTGTAAAAGTGAATAATAGACTTATCAGAACTGGACGTTCCTTGCCATTTTAGGACTTCAGCGTTTCCTATTTTAGACCAAGTCTTGCTCAATGGCTCCAAGCACATACTTATTTTCACACACACTTACCTAGGTAACAGTTGGAAAAGAGGGTTAACAAAGCTAACATTCCACTAGCCTCTTTATAAAAAGACTCAATTTAGTGGGATCGGCATTTGAGTTGCACAAAAACAATCTTGGTGAAGTAAATCTCTCTCTCTCTCCAGATTAAAGCTTTAGGAAAGAAAATAAAATTAATCTGCACAGTAACAATTAATTTTAGTGAAGGAAGAATGACAATTTATTTGGAGTTTTAGGCAAACAAGGGTCTTAAAACCCTACATATACCTTGACGTAAATGATAATGTCACACTGCTATTTGAAAAAAACCCTGCCTTACAGTCACGAAATTCAATTTGTCTTCTTAAAGAGGACAAAAATTAAACTACAGACATTATCAGAAGATGGGGGATATTTGAACTACACAACTTTTGAAGCCTGACATCCTTTAATACCACCAAGATGAACAGCTCAAACCAGAGCTATTCCATATAAAAATAAAGGCATTTCAGGTAAGAGATATATAGAGATATATATATACTTTTTTTTTTGCCTTTTTTTTTAAATGAAGATCCTCATAGTTTTGCAATTCCCTCTCCACTGCTTACAAGAACTTTGCAAGCTACTGGGAAATGTCTGAGAAAAAAAAAAAAACAACAAACAAATAACATCACAGTGGAGTTTCCTCTGAGAATCTGAAGAATCAAAGATTATTGTAGGATCTGTGTTGCATTTAGCATCTAGTTGTTGTACGCACGAACAAAATGTAGGATGTTCTGTTATCATTATCACCCATCATTTTTTCAGTACATTTTTAGGATATAGGAATTGTGTCAAGAAGACAGACATTTACATATGCTTTAATAACAGTAAATAAAATGCAATTACTTAAGAATAATTAAATTAAGAATACTCTGGCATTCCGAACAGAGAGTTCATTTGCTGAGAAACAATGGTAAGTGTACTTGAAATGAGCACGTCACCAGAGAAAGGGACAATCAGACTACTGTTTTCTTTACCACTTTTATTTTTAGTTACAGTTGTAGGTGTACTCCCTCCCTGTACTGAAGACCTGTGTAACATCAGGAGAATCTTTCCTTAGCTATTCTTTCTAGCAGTACTATCAGTAGTAAATTTACTAAAACTGATCCCTGATGGCTGTTTTTCTACTGCGATGAGGTACACACAGCACTCCTCAAAGTTTTGCAGAGTTTCCTTGATATGAAGCTCAGGAAAAACAAAACTCAGATAACAGAATTACTAAAATTCCTTTCTTTACCTTATTTGAGATTCCTGTAAATAACAAACACTTCCTTCTTTTCATCACTTCTCATAAGACTCAAAATCCACACTGTACAAAGCAGTGTGTGATGTATTCAGGCAATGTCTTGCCCTGCCCAAAATCCAACTGAATTATAACAGATTGCTAGGGCTATAAAAAAGAACTTAACTAATACCATACACCTAGTAGCTACTCTATGCTCAGAGCAGGTAAACAAGGAGAAATTTTAAAAGTAACAAAAGTACCAACGGTATATCCAAGTTCTATAAAGGACATTAGCTTTCAAATACCAATAATAAAAGCTCCTACCTATCTCTGTCCTGGTGGGGCCAATCCCATTGTGAACTCTTAAGTAACTGGAATGACAAGAATCTGAGTCATCAATATCAAAATCGCCAAATTTGAGCTGAATTCGCTGCCCAGGCTTTACACGAATTTCCCATTCACAAACTGTGCTATTGGGAGAGGTCTGTGGGTAGTTTATTGAAGCAAGAGTTCCACTTTCAGGGCCCAGAACGGTGTGTCCACACCCATCACCTACAAAAGAACAAAAATAGATCAGTTACACGCGTTCATCTTCAAAGCTTCACTGGTGATTTAGTCATCCTGGGTTTTAGCAGTGGTATCAGATTTGTTGTTTTTTTAACCATACTAATCATGTTGCAAGAAAACTCCAAGGTAAGTAGCATGCAGATGAACCAGCAATTGTGAGAAAATACCATTCAACTAATATTGCCTAATGTTTAGCTTCTCATCATAGGTGACCAGAGAGCTGCTACAACTCCCTCAACGAGATAAAAATTCATCCATAATGACTTAAAACATTGCACAGAGAGTACAGAAAGTGTCCCTGCTATTTCATGTTCCCTCAACACATGTACAAAAGAAAACAGTTTCTGAAAAGGAGGGAGAAACCCGCCAATAAATCAAGAGCACATCAGTTTTATGTTGTTACTGTATTCACAACACGATGAAAAAAGAACAGAAGTGGGAAGACAATGGACAGCAAATACTCTACTGAAAATACCTGCCAGGTCTGACCATCATCAAACTGCTAGTGCATTGTTTTCTACTGTGCCACAATTTTAATGCAGTAATTAATTCTTACAGCTGTTTAGAGAACATGCTCTATTCTTCTGGATTTGTGCAACAAATTAAATTACAACTCCAACCTGGAGCCCTCTACCTAACATTTGAGTATTAATTTGAAACAGCAGTAACGATACTAAAGAAGACTTGTTTAACAAGTGGAAAAAACAGCACAAATTGTGTATTCTCAAAATCAAATTATGAAGAGCAAACTGATAAATCTATTTACTCAACAGCTAGACATTAATTTCCCTCAGTATGTAGTACAAGAAGTGTAAGAATTTGTGCATTGTTTTGGAAATAAGAATGTTCTTTAAGTAACATCCACGATTGCTGGTTTTTTATAAATTACTGTATCAAGGTGAAACAAAGTATTCCTGAGCACAAGGACGCATCCAGCAAAATAACATCTGCAATAATGTAAGCCCCACAAAATAAGCCTCATAACATCTCTGATTTATTTTTGTTAGCACTGGAGGCTAACAAGCCTATTTATTGAATTTAGTCCCATGAAATGGGACTCCCAAGAAATTTGGGAGACAGTCCTGAAGGGCAAAGGGGTCCAGGAAGGCTGGACGATCTTCAAGAAGGAAGTCTTAAAGGCACAGGAGCAGGCTGTCTCCATACGCCGTAAGAATGGGCAGGGAAGATGACCAGCCTGGCTGAACAGGGAGCTCTTGCTGGGACTCAGGAAAAAAAGGAGAGTTTACCACTTGTGGAAGAAGGGGCAGGTGACTCAAGAAGAGTACAGGGATCGCGTTAGGTCGTGCAGAGAGGAAATGAGAAAGGCAAAAGCCCAGCTAGAACACAATCTGGCTGCTGTCGTTAGGGACAACAAAAAATGTTTTTACAAATATATTAATGACGAGAAGAGAGCCAAGGAGAATCTCCATCCTTTATTGGATGCGGGGGGGAACATTGTCACCGAGGATGAGGAAAAGGCTGAGGTACTTAATGCCTTCTTTGCCTCAGTCTTTAACAGTCAGACCAGTTACCCTCAGGGTACTCAGCTCCCTGAGCTGGAAGACAGGGATGGCGAGCAGGATGAACCCCCCATAATCCAAGAGGAAGCAGTGAACAACCTGCTACGCCCACCTGGACGCTCACAAGTCTATGGGGCCGGATGGGATCCACCCGAGAGTGCTGAGGGAGCTGGTGGAGGAGCTCGCCAGGCCACTCTCCATCATTTATCAGCAGTCCTGGTTAACAGGGGAGGTCCCGGATGACTGGCAGCTTTCCAATGTGACGCCCATCTACAAGAAGGGCCAGAAGGAGGATCCGGGGAACTACAGGCCTGTCA